TGTAAATTATAACTACAACAGGATAACACTTCATACCCAACCTCCACGGCAAGAATTGAACTGATTGTGACAAAAGGAAGCAGCTAGAACTCTCATAATGTTACAAGATTGCTGAGTTCTTGTCTCATGGTTTCAAAGAATGAATCTCAGGGACACAAAAGGGAGAAGTGAAATTAAAGTTTATTAAGTGAAGGTGAGAGCAGAAAGGAAAGGAAAAGCTCTCTAGAGTGAGAGGCGTCCTGAATAGGTTGCCACTGAGGGTGTCTAGGGCAGGTCTTTTATTGAAAACTTGACCGGGGAGCTTGTGGCCTTGAGATTCTTGCTATCTTGGTTTGAGCAAGGACTATTGATAACCCCCTTAATGACTTACTTCTTTACTAATGACCAGAAGGTCTGGTCATCTTCTATGATTATACTGTAGTGTAATCTCTAACATCTCGGGCCATGTGGTCTGGTCCATTCCCTTATCTCTTATTCACTCTGACTTAGTGCTTTTGCCTGCCAGGAATAGTTTCAGAGCCTAGTCAGAGGCCTCCTACCTCTCCCTGCCTATACCTTAACACTTTCCTTACTCAGTAATATACCACTTAATGGAATGTAAAATAATTTTTAACTACTTTAGAAAGCTGGTTATTTCTTATAAAATTTTATAGACAGGTATACCTTCTTACAAATCTATGACCAGCAATTCTACTCTTAAGTATGTATACAAAAGAAGACACATGCCCTCAAAGAAACTCAAATGTATATTAGCAGATGCATAGATAAACGGATAGTGGTATACCCATATAATGGAACACTACACAGAAATAAAAGTGAACATCCTATTCATTCATGTAAATGAATCTGAGAAACATGGTGGGGGGGATCAACTTCCTGAATGGTAGAGTAATAACCTCCCCAAACCTGCTCCTCCATAAAAGAAACTAAAACGCTGGCAAAAGGTATCTAAGGCAACTATTTTTCAGAACTCTGGGAATTAACCAAAGGAGTGTTTTTTCCAGAAAAATGGCAGGGAATCCTGCTAAGAAGGGTGAGCTTTGTGGCAGTTTCTACTTGCTCTATTCCCACACCCTCTCCCCAGTTACACAGAAGCCTTGAAAACTGGAATTAGGACTACCTGGCTGTACACATTGGTAAGACTGCTTTGAGCTTTACATTTAAAATTTCTACATTTTATGGGGAGTAAATTTATCTTCATAAATATACTTATGATAGATTTTGTTTTCTTCAGAATCCAACAGGTCAAATTATTTATTATTAATTCTGGGATACAATGTTATAAGGGCTTTTTTAAACTATAGATTATATGCTATAAATTAACATGCAGAGCAGAAAATTTACGCACTGAGAGCTAAAGTTTTCCTCAAACCCATTCTTCACTAGAAATTTTCTAAACAGTTACATCAAGGGTGGAACCCAGAAAGCTATCTGGCTTATCTATTAGTTCTTCTCTTATCTTTATTTCTATTGTCACTGAAGCCTGGGAGGAAAAAGGGTGTGGGGGATGAAAAAGGGAGAAGAAGGAGGAAAAGTAGCTAAATGAAGAATTCTCAGTAGTGAATAGGCATTGTCAAGGCAATTACTTCTGGGCTTTCTCTATGCAATAGGGGCCCAAAAAGTTTTTACCCAGCCTGCTGGGACCATTTACTTTTCAAAATCCTATCATCACAAATTGCATATTGTTAGAGAATCATTGTAATATACTGAATGATCAGTATAATAAAGAAAGATGATGTTTATATGTTAGGCAATCTGACAAAAGCAGAAAGGGGGAAACACATGAAACTCTCAAGTCTAGGAACTATAGAAAAACCAAAGGAACAAGAGTTACGTTTTACAAGTTTTAGCCTAAAAGTCATGTTTCTGTACTGCCTTGTGGCCTGATTTTTTTCCTGATCCTGTACCCCATAAAGAGAGCCTGGCTGCTAGTCTAATCCAAACATTTGTGTGTAACTACCACAAACATACTTAGAAGTTTCTGACTTCTGGGATTTGTTTTTAAATATATTAGAATAAGTAGGCAGTCAACAGGCTAACTAAGCCAAAATGTAGTGACTTTAATACTATTAGTTGAGGGACCCTGATCATTTCATTAAGCCCAAATCAATCACTTTCAATATAATTATATTGTTCAACATCACAACCCAGTGTGCTTTTAAAAACACTGCACTTCCTTGTATTTTTCTATAAGCAGAATTCTATGTGCTGTGATAGGCAGGGTTGAAAATATGTAGGAATCCACAAATTGCATCACATGGAAAAATATCTAACCCATCTACTAATAAAGTTAACACTGATTTTAACATTCCTGTTGAGGTGTAAACAGCATAAAGCACCAGCGCCTAAACTAGGAGTCTGTAAATGAGCAGTGAGTAGGCAAGGAAATTAATTTTACTGAGTAAACGTACAGTGGAGTGCATAGCTATTATAAAGCAAGATTTCTTCTGATATTTCGTGACTCCACCCCTACTGCCAACACACACACATACACAAACACATACATACCCCACTTGCATACACATGATGAATATCTGAGCCATTTCAGGCAACACTGTCCTTTCTAAAGAGATGCAGCTTGTCTGTAATGCAATTGTCCTAAAAGTATGTAAAATTGAGGCCACCATGTGAAAAGTCTGTGAAAGACAATAAGTAAACTCATAGTATGAGAGAGGAAACACAAGACAGAGATACAGAAGGAGAGAAAGAAAAAGAGCCAGAGAGTGGCACTGAGAACTCCAGGCCTGTGTTAGTTTGAATTAGCTTTGTGTTCCTTCATTGAAAAAGTCCTAAATATTCTATTGCTATATTGAAATCACATTTGCTTTATGTAATATGAAAGATTTAATTTCAAAGAAGACAGGACAACTTGTCTCAAAAAGAATAAAACACTATCCAACAGACCATCCAACCAGCCACCAGAGAACTTTTCTTTTCTAACAAGGACTTTCTGAAATAGTGGTTCTTGAGGACTTTTAGTTCCAGATGCCAGAAGCAACATTTTGTCTTCCATCACCCTGTGCCCTCAGCTGGAATGATTTCTTTCTTAATTTTAAAACTTTTACTGATGATCTGCTTATAAAGACGTGGGGATGTGCAAGTTGATATAAAGAGGCTTCTCTTCTTAAGGACCTCTTAGTCTGTGTACGTTCTTTTTTTAAGATGTATTTACTTATTTGAGAACAAGAGCAAAAAGAAGGAGGGCAAAGGGAGAGAGAGAGAGAGAGAGAGAATCCTCAAGCAGACTCCCCACTGAGCCTAGAACCCTATGTGGGGCTTGATCCTATGATCCTGAGATCACAACCTGAGCCGAAACCAAGAGTCAACCACTTAACTGACTAAGCCACCCAGGCGCCCCTAGTCTATGTATATTACACTGTATTTTTATGATTTGTTTCTCTAACCAAGAGCCTGATTAGAGCTGCAATATCTATAGAATCACAGGAATGGGCATGTGTGTCTACCTTGGGAAGAATGACAGAGGGTCAAGGCAATCATAAAGGAGATAATATTTGTGCTGTGTCTTGAAATATGAAAAGATCTCCAGAAAAAGAATGATAAGATAAGAAGAGATCACTGAATAAGCAAGAAAAAGTGTGTTTTTGATATGCAATGTCTGAAATGAAGAATAAAGGGAGATAAAATGATAAGATTTGGATTCAATTTCTTATCAAAAATTCTAATTGTAATGAAAGCAAAATTATTTCTTAGTCTCTTTTAAGTGGCTACTTTTCTATTATGATGATAGTCTTTCCATGGCAAAATGATATACTAGGGTCATACTTAGTATACTTTAAAAAGACTTTTAGTATAGTTTAAAAGACTTTCTGCTTACATGTCAGTGGTCACTATAAAGAAAATCCAGTCCTACTGGGAAGATGTCCCAATTAAGAAAATACCAGTCAAACCAACCGAAAGCTTTAAACAAATCCCAATGAACTTGCTGCCAGTGGTAAAATAGATACACATGGTTATTTGCTAAGGCACTAGGCAAAGCCTATCTATCTTGCCCTAGCTCTTTAAGCTTAAACTGCTTACTCATTCAGAGATCAAACAACATGACACTTTATCTGCAGGAATCATAAGGAGTACCTCTTTTCTAAGTTCAGAAACCTCTGCTCTACAGATCCTTGATGTTCTTGTTCTGTGATTTCCGCTTATATTGACCTTATAGTTTGTTCCCATTATTCCCTCAGTGATCCAGATTACTTGTCCAGGTTAGAAATGCTTGACCTTGGGGGGCACCTGGGTAGCGCAGTGGGTTAAGTGTCCGACTCTTGCTTTCAACTCAAGTCATGATCTCAGAGTGATGAGATCGAGCCCCATGTCGGCTCCATGCTCAGCGTGAGGTCTGCTTGAGATTCTCTCTCCTTCTCCCTCTGCCCCTCTTGCTCATGTGCTCTCTCTCTCTCCCTCTCTAAAAATAAATAAATAAATCTTTTTAAAAAAAGAAATGTTTAACTTCAGCACTTCTGTCAGGATTAAATTCTGATTTTTTTTCTGGTTCACTGAGGATAAGAAGCAGTCTCTAAGCCCTATATTGGTCCTCTGGACAAGTTCTGGGTCAGCCTATTCCTTATTACCTGTCCTCTGGCATTTTACACATACCACCTTTCAATCATTGAGCCATCAAATGGGGAACAAGATGGAGTCATCCCTCTTGCTAGTCAGTCTTTCTCTATATCATCTACTTTTATACTGTGTTTTATGCCTCTGAACAGGGAGTTGAAATGTGATATTTGATTATTTTCAAGCATATAGGTTCTGTGGAATTAGTGGGATTTATACAGAGTCACCATATTCCCCAGGATGCTGAGACATTTGGTCCAACTCCACTATCTAAAACAAAAACAACCTTAACAAAACTCATGACACAGTGAAATGGATCCAGGGTGAATAGAGGTGGATTTGGTCATTTCTGTTCCCTCAGAGTTTAAAATCCCATACTTTGCTGATTCTAAGTATAGAAGTAAAAAGAGGTTGTTTTAAAAAATTTTTACCTAAGGAAGTTTGACCTCCTTGTTTCTCAGACTATAGATGAGAGGATTTAACATGGGGATAACCACTGTATAAAACACAGATACCACTTTGTCTTGGTCCATTGAGTAGCTGGAGCTGGGGTGCAGATACATGAATAGAATTGTGCCAAAGAAGATAGTGACGACCATCAAGTGGGAAGCGCAGGTGGAGAAGGCTTTGTGCCTCCCTTCGGCAGAATGGATCCTCAGGATGGCAACAAGGATGTACAGATAAGAAATGAGAATAATCAGGAGGAAGCTCAGTTCATTAAAACTGGCATAAGCAAAAATTACAACTTCATTGACACGTGTATCAGAACAAGAGAGTTTCAGGAGGGGTGGAGTGTCACAAAAAAGTGGTTGATGACATTTGAGCATCAGAAAGACAACTGAAAGGTGAAGCCAGTGTGAATGGCAGCATTCAGAAAGCCCGCAAGATATGTGGCCAACACCAGAAGAACATTAAGATCAGGGGACATAGTAACCGTGTAAAGAAGAGTCTTGAAAATGGCTACATAACAGTCATAGGCCATCACGGTCAACAGGAAGCCCTCAATGCCAGCAAAGGAACCAAAAAAGAATTGAGTGGCACATTCATTAAATGAAATGACTGGGTTCTTCACCCAGAAATTCACTAGCATATTAGGGGCAATGACAGAAGAATAACAGAAATCAACAAGGGACAAATTCCTGAGGATAAAGTACATTGGAGTGTGGAGATATGAGTCAATCTTGATCAATAGGATCATGCCAAGATTTCTAAACACAGTGATCGTATAGATGACTAGAAACACTATAAGAAGCAGGCACTGTAGTTCTGGATGATCCCTGAATCCCATGAGAATAAATTCAGTCACTGTTGTATAGTTGCTCATATCTTTGTCTCAGAATGGATGATTCATTTGCTAGGATAAGAAAGAAACCAAGGGAATAAATTACACAAAGAAAAAAGAAACCAGGAAAATAAGATAGTTTATTCTCTGCTATAAGTAAGAATAGTTCCAAGAATGCCCTGAGGAATGCATATTAAAGTTCTTTATTTTCTTGTGGAGGTGAAAAGAAATTCCTTAAGTAAACTCAGTAACCCATTTTATTTAAAATTAATAGGTGTGTGTGTGTGTGTGTGTGTGTGTGTGTGTGTGTGTGTGTGTGTGGCTGTGAAGTCTTTGATGATCAATCCTATTTGTCCATATCCTACCTTACTTCCCAACTTTTCTCTCCTCCTCCCTTGGTCTTACTGCCTTCACCTCCTATGATCCAATTCCTTGCATTCATCTTGGCAATTAAATGTACAATACAATTGAATATCCTTGCTGTATGCAGTTCTGCTTTTCCTGTTTTCTCTCAAGCCCACTCTGATCAGGCTTGCACCCTATCACTCTACAGAACATCTCTTGTCTAAGACATCAGGAATCTTTACATTGCCAAATCCCGTGGTCAATTCTCATTCCTCATCTTTTTTGATCTCTCAATAACATTTGACAGAGTTGATTTCTTACTACTCCTTGAAAGATTTTCTTCTCTTATCTTCCAGGACACCAGACTCTTGAGTATTCTTCCTACCATGGGGGTTGCTCCTTCTCAGTCTTTGTTTACTCCTCTTCTCTCTGATTCTTAAGGTTGTAGTAGCTCAGTCCTTAATCTCTCCCCCTTTCCTATTTACACCCTACCTTGGTAATATTCAATTTTGTAAATTTGATTACCATCTATACACCTAAAACTCCTGAATTTATATATCCAGCCCTGACCTCTTTTCTAAATTCCAAACTTATAATTCAACTGCTTACTCACATCTCCATATTAATATCAAATAGCAATGCAGTATGACCCAAAGCTGAATTCCTCATGCCTTCCCCTAATTTGGCTAAACATAGCATTCCTTATCTCAAGTTAATGACAACTCTATACTTTCATTTGCCCAGATGAAATTAAATAAATAGATAAATATTGAAGAAATTGATCTCTTCTCTTTCTCACACACTATATAGCCAATCTATATAGCCAATAGATAATTATGTTGGCTCTACCTTCAAAATATCTGTATCAACTACATCCTACCACCTTCATTCCTACCAAGACCCAAGCCAACATTATCTTTCACCTAGATTACTGTAGTAGTAACTGATCTATCTTTAAAGTCAGCTAAAACCCTACCCCGTAAAATAACCAATTTTAAAATTTTGTAAAGCTCTACTTTATGCATATTTACACATACTTGCATTATTTTTTTAAACATGCTTGCATTATATTATGGCATTCTTGCTACAAAAGTTAACTAAATTTCCCTGTTTTGCACACAGACACATATGTATATATACACATGGATATACATGTATATATACATTCATGTATGTATGTGTCTGTATATGCTGAATATTCTATAAAATTCTCATTTGCTATTGGTGATCCTAAATCCCTGTTGTCTAAAGACAAAATCCAAATTAGTTTAGTTGGGAACATTAAATTTAGTGTTTCAGACATATCCTAATTGAGATCTTTAATTACTTTATGCTTTTTGAGTCCTCTCGGAAACTTTCTATACCTGAACAACTTGAGATCAATTAAATCATCTTACCTTTGTCCTTAATATTCACCAGTAGTGGTTATTAGTTTAGTTTTGTGTCATTGCTTTTTGGAGAAATACAAGTTTTCTGTCTTACAATGTGAAATTTATAGCTTTGATGAAAATGGAAGTGATATAAGAGATCCAGCTATGACAGAATTGAGACATGGTTAATTAATTCAACAAAGAGTAGAAAATGCTGCTTCTGAATATGAAGCAGTCAATCTTATTAAGTCTGTGATGATCCTCTTGAGATTTAGTCTCCACGAAACACTAAAAATCTAAAGCTTGAAATGTGCTAATCTAAAATTAAAACATGCATTTACTTTTCACTGAGATAATTGAACTATTTTCTCCCCAGTGAACCACTTATACCCCAGAGAGTAACTTAGGCTTTTAGAGAAGTACAAAAATTATTTCATGGTCCTGAGACTCCATTGAGCATAACATGGAGTTAGATGGTATAAGATTGATGAGATCCTGCCTCCAAACTTCAGAATTCCATTTAAAATGTGATCCCTACTCATTTCTACTAGAATATGGCTCTCAGTGCATTAATTAATTGATTAATTCAACAAATATTTAGTAGACTTGTGTTATGAAGAATACAAGTGTCCTTGGTACTGGTAGTAGCCAAAAAATCGATCTTGTGCATTCCTTCACGCAGCTTGCATTCTGGAGTTGGGGTTGGAGGGCTATTGCAGGTGATAGGGAAAAGTAAAGTCCAAAGCCTACTTGTGAACTACCAGGCTTATTTGATCAGTCACTCCTTCCCAAACACCTTCCCGATTGGAATTCTTTTCATTCTTTCATTTGCTCAATCAGTCCACATATATGTTGTCTCCTTACTATTCCTTTAACAAACCAGGGAGGATCTTGCCTCAGGGCCATTATATTTACTCTAAGTATACCTGGAATGCTCTTCTACAGACATTCAGATGATCTTATCTTTATTCAAGCCTTGCTCAAATGTTATTTCCACAGAAAGCTCTTCTCTGATACCACCATTCCCTATTTTATCACTTGCTTTACCATTCTTCAAAACACTACTCATACCCATGTCAATCACACACACACACACACACACACACACACCTAACACCTCTATGTACACACGTACACACACATGCACATTTGGTATAGACAATAAAGTCTTCCTCACTCAAATATAAGGAGATCAGAAGAAGTTTCAGGAGATCAGAAACTTAATTGTTTTACCTGCTAAATCTCCAGGACAGGTTACATGCTAGTTTTTCCATTAATAGTTTACCAGTTTTATTGAAGTGTGTGTATGCCCAAATACAACAAATTATATACATTAAATGTATGCAGAGTTTTATATATCTATGAATAATCTTTGGATGGATTATGGGTAAATATATAAAGGGTGTCTATTTTCCTATTCTAAGCACAAACTGAGGTATATAGCAGAAGATACAGTTTATAACATAACATGGAAAAGGATATTTGAAGCTCAATGACACACAGGTGTGATGCTAAGATAGAGACACTCCTCATAGTACAAAAGGTGTGATCATTTTATATACGTTTGAGTATGATAACTAAGTGGAGAGAGCTAATTTTGTAATCCTTTCATGTGTCCAGAGTCCCTAGATGACAGGTTGTCAATTCAGTGTATGAACCTAGTACTCAAGTGAGAAGCCAGGGCTAGACATGTGGATTTAGGAGTCATTGCAGACATCTCAAATCATCTAAGAAGTGGGTACTGATGGAGAATGAACGTACCATGAACTAATGTAAAGGATTAAGTCTTTGGCTCCAAGATTTGGAGGTTAGCATGAGGAAGAGAAGGAAAAGTTATCACACTTACCTGGGGGAAAGTGGCAGTGGAAGGAGAAGGAAAATCAGAAGATTGAAGTGACATAGAAATCTAAAAATGTGGGGTTTTTTTTTTTGGTAGTTGAAAAAATTAATGATGGCAAATCCTCTTGAGATACCAAGTACAAGTATGATAGAAAAGCAATCTTTAGAGGCAATAATGTTAAGCTCTCATGTGTCCATGACAAGATTGGGTTCAATGGAGAAGAGGTACAGAAATACAATTGGAACATGTAATGGGATTTGAGGAAATAAGGACAAGGACCAGAAGTAGTTCTTTTGAAAAGATTCATTGTAAAGAGAGCAGAGAAATAAGTTGGTGACAGGATGGGACTTTTAGCCAAAGAAATTATTAAGAAGGGTGATACTAGATGATGTTTATAAACAAATGAGAACACTCCAGTAGCGTTTGGGGAGAGTAGAGATATGATTTCTGAAGTAAAGTTCATGGAAAGATCCAAAAGTGTGAAAGAAATGGTCTTAGGTAGAAGCAAGGGACACATTGATAAGTGGGAATAAAAGTATGTGTATAAAGATTAGCGATGGTAAGAAGGGGATAATCTTACCTTTTTGGGGGGATAATCTTATCTAATTGTTTTTATTTTGGAGGAAGAAGTATGACACAAGATCAGCAACAGACAGTGGCATACTGAGAGGTTTTCTTTAATTGCACTAAGCAGCTTCAGTGGAGGACAGAACAAAGAAACAATTACGCTTCACTAAGTTGGAATTTAATCAGATAAGTGGAATGGAGAGAAAGTAGAACCATGGAATTGAGGGTGATTGAGAATGACTCATTATTTGATGGACCATGGAATTCCAGTTGGGCAATGAGTAGTGATCAGTGCCACTTTTCTTAGGTTGGTGAATAAGAAGCAGCTGAAGGACAGATATTATAGTCTATGAGTTAGAATAAAAGGGAACATGAAAAAAAGATATCAAGCATGATACAGTTTTGAATGTCTTTGACCTTGATTGGGCGCCTGTGTGCCTCAGTCAGTTAAGCATCTGCCTTTGGCTCAGGTCATGATCTCAGGTTCAAGGGATGGAGCCCAATGTTAGGCTCTCTGCTCAGTGGGGAGTTTGCTTCTCCCTCTTACACTCCCTCTGTACTCTCCCTCTCTCTCTTTCTCGCTCTCTCATAAATAAATAACAAGTAAATAAATAATCTTTAAGAAAAATCTTTAAAAGAACAGTTGAAAGTGGAAGTTTTAGGGGGATGGAACTATTCAGAGTAGACAGAATGAGTTAACACATCCTTTGCAGTCTCTAACCTATTGGGGGGGGGCGGTTCTTACTTGGAGCATGACAAGCACTGGTGTTCTCCCTCAAGGTCTACAGTAGATAACGGGATGGAAAGAAATAGGGAGTAGACGTTTACCTGATTCCAAATCATCAGGCCTCCTTTGACATGCCATCTCATTGAAGAAGGTGGTTTACCCATTGCTCCCACATTGACAACCCCCTGTCCCA